GGAGGGAAGAGGGGGATCTTTGATGTGTAAAATAAATGAAAAATTTTCTTAATTAAAAAAAAGAATGAGTTTACTAAACCCACTGTCTGCTAGTCAACAATTGTAATATAGAAATTCATATTTGAAGTTGAAAAATTCCTTGAGTTAACTCACACTAATTCTTTTGCTATATATAAATCAAGATTAGCATGGCCTCAATCGTTAATTGTTCCATTGAGTCCAGAAACAAGATATGCATTCTGTTTTCATGGTGTGATTCAAATTCACTTTGTATATTAACAAAATGAAAATTCATACAACCCACTTGAAAGGATTTGTGCATAGATAAAAGCAAACAATTTCACAGTTGAACTGTATGTAACATGACTGATGAAGAGTACTTCCTGTTTACACAACTGAAGTCAAGGGGACTAAGGAAGAGAGCAGTTTGTAAAGAAAAATGGTCAAAAGTGGTCAGAAAGTCACATGTCTGTTGTCGCTGACTGAAGGTGTTTTATCAGTCCTCGGCAAGAACTGGCTAGCAAGAGTGCTTCTGCCCACAAATTGTGGGGATCACAGTGAAGTTCTGTTTCTGTCCTGGGACCATCATTTCATCTAAAGAGTAGTACCAAGATGTGTAATTAGAACAGGGATTTTTTTTCACTGCTATAACCTTTGCATCTAGAGCAGAATTAGATACAGAGGTGATATCCAATAAATATTTGTTTAAAAAGTTAATTTTTATACTCTCAAAGAAAAACAAATATAGCCCAATCACATCAACAATACCTATATAATAGCATGTGTGTGTGATAATGTGAGAAGTTAAATAAAAATGATATACTTTATAACATTAATCTTAAGTAAAGTATAAAGTTTCAAAAAAGTATATATATATATATATATATATATATATATATATATATATATCCTCAATAGAATGTATAAGCTAAATCAAGCTGGCAGTGCTGCTATGGTATGATCTTCCTAAGAAAGAAATTTTTTTTCTTTTTATTAAGAGATTTTCTATTCATTTTACATACCAACCACGGATTCCCCTGTCCTCCCTCCTCCCACCCCCAGCCTTTCCCCCTCAACCCACTCCCCATTCCCACCTCCTCCAAGGCAAGGTCTCCCCTGGGGAGTTAGCAGAGCCTGGTACATTCAGTTGAGGCAGGTCCAATCCCCTCCTCCCTGTACCAAGGCTGAGCAAAGTATCTCAGAAAGAATTTTATTAGAGGAAAGCCCTTTCTTTATAGGCAAGATGTGGTGCTATATTGTCTACCCCAATAAAACTCACCTGGGGATCAGAGGACAGAGCCAGCCACTAAATTAGACATAGAGGTCAGGCAGTGGTATCATACACCTTTAATCCTATCACTCGAGAGGCAGGGATCCATCTGGATCTCTGTGAGTTCAAGGCCACACTGGGCTACATGAGAGAAACAACACCAGGCAATGGTGACACATACCTTTAATCCCAAGAAGTAATATGGCAGGACACAGAAAGGTATACAAGGCATGAGGAAACAGGAACTTGCTCTCTTGAAGCTGAGGATTTCATAGAGGTAAGCTAGTGGCTGGCTGTTCTGCTTCTCTGACCTTTCAGCTTTCACTCCAATATCTGGCTCTGGGTTTTTTATTATAAGACCTTTTTGTGTTACAGCAAGATTTCAAAAAACTTTTTAAACACCTAAAAGGAAGAAACATCATGAAATCATGAAACATCCACAAACCAAATTCAAAAGAACATATGAAAAACAGTATTACCTAGTTGGCTTCATACCACTAGTCCAAAGATGATTCACTATAAAAATAACATCTGTGAATGACCACATCAATCACTGAAAACATATTTGTCAAGTTTTGATGAAAAGAGAAGGAATAGGAACTTCTTGATGGAGGGAGTTTGGTTGTATTTGGTATAAAGACATGCACACTACTTACAGGGGTGTGTGTGTGTGTGTGTGTGTGTGTGTGTGTGTGTGTGTGTATTTGTACTCCAGAATCTGTGAAGAAAGATACTCACTAGATCTAGATATGATGGTGGATACTTGTAATCCCAATACTCAAGAGGCTGAGGAAGGAGGATCACAAGATCATAACCAGTGTGGGCTACATAGCAAGACATCATCTCAAAATATCAACAAACAAACAAACAAACTGTAGATTGGATTTTAAGAATTAAAACCAGAAGGCTGGAGAGGTGGCTCTGTAGTTAAGAGCACTGGCTGCTCTTCTAGAGGACGAAGGTTCAATTTTCAGCACCCTCATGGAGGCTCATAGCCATCTGTAACTCCATGTCTAGGGAATACAACACCCCCTTGGTGGGCACTTGCTGGACAAACATTCACATAGGCAAAATATCAATAAACATGAAATTTTAAAATTAAGAATTAAAACTAAAAAAAAAGAACTCTAAACATTGAGGAATTCAACACGTAAGGTGTGAAGTATTCGTGCGATCAACTCTTACACTGACTTAGTTACTTTCTATTGTGAAAATGCAACACTGACTAACCTACTTATGGGGAGGAACGGCTTATTTGGCTTACATGTCCCAAAGTCTGTCACTGAAAGAATCCAGGGTAGGAACCATGGAGAAAAGCTACTTACTGGCTTGCTCATCCTGACATGTTCAGATATATAGCCTAGAATCACCTGCCCATGAATGACACCATCCACAGTGGACTGGGCCCTCCCATAGCTATCATTAACCAAGAAAATGCCCTCACAGACAGGCTCACAGGCCCATCTGATGGAGGCAATTCTTCAACTGAGGTCCCCTCTTCCTAGGGGACTCTAGTTTGTATCAAGTTAACAAAAAAACTTGCCAGTGTATACAAAACTGAAGGAAATACATTAAACATATTTCAAATGTATAATACTGAGTAATAAAAGCCACAGAAGGACAGGTAAGGTGTTATAACTTACAATGTATAATGTACACAGATTAAAATATAAGTGGTTCTGTATTTGCTTGTAGATATAAGTGGGCAAGAAGCACACCAAACTCCCTATGTAGATACTTTGGATGGAGACAGGAAGGTAATTTAAGCTAATGATATTGGGAGTTTTTAAATACTTTATTTTAAATTATGTGTAGGGGGAGTGGCCTATGTGCACCAGAGTGCAGATGTCAACAAGGACCAGAAGAAGGTGTCTAATCCCTTGGAGCTGGAGTTTCAGGAGGTTGTAAATCACCTGATATGGTAGCTGGGATCCAAACTCTGATCCTCTGTGAGAGCAGCAAATGCTCTTAACTGCTGAGCTATCTCTCCAACCCATGATGGTATTTATGGTGGTATTTTATTTGTATTGAAATGTGATTTTCATTGTATGTTAATAAATAAAGTTGCCCGGAGGTCAGAGCTATTAGAGCCATAGCAAGAGCGTGGTGGTGGTGGTGCACGCCTTTAATCCCAGCACTTGGTAGAAGAGCTTGGTAGATCTCTGTGTGTTCAGGGATACAGCCAGCATTGGAGACATACGCCTTTAAGACCTGGAGGGCTGTACTTACAGGCAGTGATGAGGCAGTCATGTGTTTGGGTTTACAACCAATGAGAAGGCAGAACAGAAAGACTATTTAAAGACAGACACACAGGAAGTAGCTCTCTTTCAGGAAGCTAGGAGCACTGCAGGAGGTAAGATTTTAGCTCTGAGCTCTGACCTTTCGGCTTTCTCTTTTACACTGGTTCTGTGTTTCTTATTTTAATAAGACAGTTGGTTACATCTACAGGTTTTTGTTTTTGTTTTTGTTTTTGTAATAGGATTGTATTTGCTTTCCTTAAACAGTAATGTTTTAACTCTAGATACATTAAGCTATAATAAGAAAAATTACTATCATGAGGGTAACAGTGCTTATTATGCCATTTTTACATTTTCTCAATTTTTAGTTTAAGTATGAAATACCTTTTCACTGTAGACCCATTAAATAAATTTGCAAAAAAACTCAAATTATAAACTTGAGTTAGAAACACTGGTGTTGTACTCACTATCTTAACCTACCTCTGCGTACATACAGAGCCATACTACATGGGAAAACTTGGCAAGTGTCTCCGGTGTGATGAGTCAAAGTCGTGATGTGTTCACTGTGCTGGTGACCTGCAGGTGCTAAGCAAGCTGTGTGAGCTGTGCCTTCAGAATACTCATCTTCAAAATAGAAAGAAACCTGTGCAAAGGAGTCAAAAACGGAGTGATAATTTGGTAGTTATTGGAGTTCAGCAAGAAGTATTAGGGCTGGGAGACAGCTCTGTGGTTAAGAGCACTGGCTGCTCTTGCAGAGGACCCAGGTTCAGTCCCTAGCACCTAACATGGCCGCTCACAACCACTTATAACTCTAGATCCAAGGAATTCTACAGCCTCTCTGGTCTCTGCACACATCTAGCACATCTAATCTAGCACACATCAAGCACATATCTAATGCACATATACACATCAGGTACACATGCAAAAATGCACACACACACACACACACCAGGCATACATGTAATGTACACACACACACCAGGCACACATGTAATACACATAGACACACCAGGCACACATGTAATATAATGCATTTATCTAATTATTCTTTAGTAATAAAAGCTCAGGAGTCAGATATCAAGGTAAGAACCCAAATGATCACAGAAGCAGTGAAGAAGCAACCAGTGACCTCCCATCTCTTTGGTTCCTCCATCCACAAAACCAAGACTTTCTCTAAGCCCCACCCTTCTACTTCCTGTCTATCTGTTCTCAGTCCTCCAAAACTCTGTGGTTAATTTTGGTTAGCTGGTAGCTAGCTCCGCCCTCTGATTCAAAACAAATTTTATTGTCATTTTGGGAGTGTCAGAATGCAATCAAAATATGACAAAACAGTAATGCACACACACACATCAGGTACATATGTAATGCACACACACACACACACACTAAGCACACATGTAGTACACACACACATTCAGGCAAAACATGCACACTTACCAAATAAAAATAAATAAATCTAAAAAATTAAACAAGTACTAGAACTTAGTAATAAGTGATAAGTAGTAATAAGCATGGCATGAAGAGAATGAAATTCAATTCTCCACTTCCTCCACTTTCATTTCCAAGCAACAGAGGTACTTAAAATGTTGGTGGAGTGCAAAATAAGTTGTGATTCTTAACTTTTCAATGGAAGCATAGTTGCTAATTTTTTAAATCCAATACTAATCTTTATATGCAAAATGTCTACTGATACATTCAGACATACATGAGCACCAATATTGGGTCATCTACCATGATTCAAATAGGAGGGGTTTTAACCTATATTAATTTTGCTTTGCTCTCAGATTCACAAAATAATATAAAGGTTTATTAACTATGACTGGCCACTGCAGGAGATGGCATACATTTTCTTCTTTAGCCTTCATCTCATCATTGTGGGGAGACAGTAGGCTGTATTTCCACTTTATTGATGAGAGAACTGTTGCAGGATATTTGATCACACTGTGAACCCTGAGATTACATTATTTACTGGAAAAACTTCTTCCTAGTTATGGTGTGGCTCAGCCCTGGCACACACATTTAATCTAAGAGCTTTCTGTTCATTGTAAACAGGATTAAATAAAGTCAATCATAGGTCAAGAGACAAGCAAGCAACCAGTAGACAGGGTAAAACCATAGAGTAAGAGGGAGTCAGGAGGATGGAGAGAGACTCATGGAAGTAGAAGGGAGGGACATTGAGTTGGAGGAGTTTTGTTTGAGAAAGGTTTCTCTTACAGGGGCATGGGCAGAGGAGGAAGGTCAGCTGGGTGCTTTCTCTGCCTCTCTGAGATAGCAGGCTTTCACCCCAGCATCTGGCTCCCAAGTCTTCATTGGTTAAAAAAAAAAAAAAAAGTTTTATTTTAAAAAAAAAAAACAGAGAACTAAAAGTCAGAGATATGAAATGACTTGCTCAAGATCAGACTAATTATTTTTAAAAAACAACAGAACTAAAGGTCAGAGATATGAAATGACTTGCTCAAGATCAGACTAATGCTACAAATCCTGTTGTTGATAATCAGGTGTGTCTAATAAAAACCTTACACTCATTCCACACATCAGCATCATTATCTACCTGTGGGTGTTAACAGCTCTCATGATTAAAACATCTCTAGTGTTTAGAATACCTATTTATTCTTAAAAACAATCATGAATAGTTAATAGGCTAGAATTTTTAAGGTTATTTAATTTCTTTAAAATCTAGTTTTCAAAATAGATATCTCACTCAAGAATGTTTTATTTAGATTTACTGTGTGTGTGTGTGTGTGTGTGCTTATGTGTGTGTGCATGATTGCTTGCAAGTGAATATAAAGGTTAAAAGACATCTTACACAATTTTTTTTATTTTCTCTCACCCATGTGCGTCTTAGGGATCAAAGTCAGGTCATTAGGTCTGGCAGCAAATGCCTTTACCCCTGAACTGTCTTGTCAATCTTTGAGATGCTTTTAATTACTGCTATAATTTGAGGATAAATATGATACAACATTAAAATATTAGGAAAGTATCAGACTTGCATTTGTTACTCAATAAAATATTAATAGCTTTAATGCCATTGATATTTTACAGTTCCTAGAGTTCAAGGCTTAATGAAAAACCAAAAATTTCTATAACACAAGAAAATTCTAACTTTCATGTTCAATATACAGCCACAGTACATCTACAGCCTCAGTTTCAAAGGTATCAACAAAAGCATTCTCTCTCCTCATTAAACTAACATAGAAACATACAATAGCTTAACTGCAGTTTTACTCAATACTTTTAATGTACAGCAATTGCTTTTTAGGCTACTCTGACATCTAGTGGAATGATTATAGCCATTCAAAATATATAAAATACACACTTTACTTTTTACTTTTAAAAAAACGAATAGCATTGTAACTGAAGTTTTCCTGTGTCCTGGCCGGCTGGCAGTCAGGACAAATCTCTCTCACCTGCCAGTCCTGCAGCCACTCAGACCCAAGTAAACACATAGAAGCTTATATTAATTAAAACTACTCGGCCATTAGCTCAGGCTTTCCACTGACTAGCTCTTACATTTAAACTCAGCCCATTTCTGTTAATCTATATGTTGCCATGATTTCCATGGTTTTACCTGTGTACCATTACATGTTGCTTCCTGGAGAGCTGGCATTTCCTGACTCAGCCTTCCTCTTCCTAGAATTCTCCTCATCTACTTGGTCCGCCTACACTTCCTGCCTGGCTACTGGCCAATCAGCATTTTATTAAACCAGTGTACAAAAGCATTATTCCACAGAATTTCCCATTTTCTATTAAACAAAAAGGAAGGTTTTAACTTTAACATAGTAAAATTATATATAATAGAACAGTTATCAAGCAAGAATTACAGTTACAATATCTAGTCTATTTGTATTTGGCAAAATTAAAGAAAATATTCTATCTATCTTATATTGGTGAGTCTAAAGCTTCATATCTAATTTATCTTTTATCATAACCAAGGAAAATTATAATTTTAACTATCTAGTCTTCCACTACATCAAAAACCTCCGAAGGATACAATATTATCTAAGTAAACAGGAAGAGCATTGTAAGCAACTTCTAAAATCTAGGAAGACAGAGACAGCTGGCTACCTGGACTATGTTGGGTGCCAAATGTAGACAAATTTCTAAGCATTCTTAATAAATAAAAAACACAGAGCCAAATATAGGGGTGAAAGCCTTAGAGATCAGCAAAAGAGTGATAGCCACCAACCAACCTTCCCTCTCCAGCTCTGCCGCTCCCAAAAGTGAGCCACTCCTGTCTACACGTGCCTTTATTGCCTTGTTGTTCTGCCCCCTCATTGGCTCTTAGCCCAGCTACCTCACTTCCTTTTCACTGCCTGTCTGTACAGACCTCCAGGTCTCTATAGTAGGTACTGGGATTAAAGGTGTGTATAACCACACTTGGCTGTTCCCTAGTGTGTCTTTGAACACACAGAGACCCTGCCTACCACATGATCGGATTAAGGGCGTGTGTTACCACTGCCTGACTTTTGTGTTAATGGTTTGCTATTTCCTCTGATCTTCAGGCAAACTTTATTTTTTAACATACAAATAAAATATCACATTTCATCACAAAGAAAATATCACCACATAGCTTTCTAAGTAACAGACTAATCACGTAATCACTAATGGTTTTCCGGTTAGCTTGGTTGGTTGGTTGCTGCTGCTATCATTGTTGTTTGAGACAGGGTCTCACTAAGTATGTCACCCTGGCTGGCCTGGAACTCTCTATGTAGACCAGGCTGGCCTTAAACTCACAAAGGCCCACCTACCTTTGCCTCCCAAGAGCGGGGATTAAAGGTGTGCACCACCACACCTGGCCCCAGCAGATTTTTAATATTATAGATTGTAACACAAATTCCTAAATTGTCTTATAATAAAAACCTGGAACCAGACATTGGGGTAAATGCTGAAATATCAGAGAGAGAAAGGAACAAGCCACTAGAGAAACATCTCACCTTGCCAACTCCATGAATCCTTGTAATATGAATCTTAAATGGTCTTATTAATAAAATCAAACCTGAGGCCAGTTATTGGAGTGAATGCTGGAAAATCAGAGAAGCAGAACATGCCACAGCCACCTCATCTCGCCAGTTCCTCAGCTGATCCTTTTTCCTAAGACTGGAAGCCTCTGAGTCCTCATCCAGAATGAATCTCAGCTGAACTGTTGCTCAGAAGCCTGAATGCTTAACCAGCCAAAAGCTCCTAGTTTCTGGTCTTCACACCTTATATACCTTTCTGCTTTTTGCTATCACTCCTTGGGATTAAAGGCTTACTTTCTGGGATTAAAGGTGTGAGTCACCATGCTTGGCTGCATCCTTGAACACAGAGATCCAGGTAGATCTCTGCCTCTGGAATGCTAGGATTAAAGGCGTGTGTTACCACTGCCTATCCTCTATGTTTAATATAGTGGCCGTCCTGTTCTCTGTCCTCAGATAAGTTTATTAGCATGCACAATATTTCAGGGAACACAATACCACCACAAATCCTCTGACTGAAAGCCTCTAAATCCTCAGCCAAAAGGGCTTCCTGAGTCCTCAGTCAGAAAGGTTCCAGCCGAAAGGTCTCTAGTTCCTGTCTCCTCACACCTTATACACCTTTCTCCACCCAGTCATGTCACTTCCTTCCTAGTGCTGGGATTAGTGGCGTGTGTGCTTCCCAAATACTCGTGGCAAAGGCATGAGAGCTCAAGTGCTGGGATTAAAGGCCATGACTCTTAAGTACTGGGATTAATGGTGTGTGCCACCACTGACTGGCATCTATGTTTAATCTAATGTCTTGTTCTGTTCTCTGATCTTCAGGCAAATTTTATTAGGATACAAAATGTATTACCACAGTATATTGTATATCAACTCAAGAAAGTCAATATGAAATATCACTTAAGATTTCTATTTTCCACCTTGGCAGTAGTGGCTCATGCCTCTGAGTTAGAGGCCAGTGAGATCTACAGAGTGAGTTCCAGAACAGCCAGGAATAGAGAAACCCTGTCTCAAAAACCAAACCAAACAAAAAAAGTTTCTATATTCCATTCCACTGATTTGGGTGACTGGCTAAGCCATTATTAATAAAATGTGCATGGCCTTCAGGCAGGTAACAGATTTTGTTCTTTATCCTAAGACTAATGAAAAGACATTAATGGGTTGAAAGCAAAAGATTAACTTGATGAAAACATCAATTGTTTAAATTTGGAAGGATTTTATAATTATGAGTGCAGGGCGTTTACCCACCAACCCCAGAGTTCCCCAGAGTTTTCTTGAGTGAGAGCAGTAGGAAATATTAGATAGAAGAATTTAGACTGTGGAGATAAACAGATAGAAAATACAGGATAGCCTCAAGAGGGCCTGGAACCTGTTCCAATGAGCCCTGACTGTCTCTGCCCTAGGGTATTTACAGAAATGCCAAGGGGTGGAGCAAAAGACCTCCCCCCAGCACAGCCAAGTGCAGACCATTTCAGACACCTGCACTCTGGCCGTGGTCCAATCATCCTCTCTATGTAGACCTGCTGGGTAAAGCCACCAGGAACCTGAAAACGGGCTCCCACATATGAGATAATTAGAAAATTGCCTTTTGATGGGCCATTTGCTAATATTGAGGAAATGTTAACTTTTCTTGATGCATATTGATGGTATTACAGTAATAGTTGACAGGAAAGTTCATACCTTTTAGAGATTTAATGGACAAGACGAAATAAATTTTATGACATCTGTGTATCAGCAGATACTTGAATGGAGGCAACAGTTAACAGAAAGGAAAGAAACAGCAAGTGAGACCTTGAGAAATCTCCAGGAAAGTCCAGAAAACTAAGGATGTAGGAGAAAAACATGAGAGGTACAAGGACTATCCGAGGAGGGTTATATCATGCAGGCAAAGCAACAGAGGATTCTAGAGGAAACACACACCAAGTTAGCAAGTCAAGGCTGTATTTGGCACATGGATAAATTCTCAATACATACTGTTCTTACGATGGCTAAGATGAAAAGTGTAGAAAAATCGCTGCTAAAAAAAATAGTTCTAGAAAATAATGTAGAAAGAGCCACATTAAAGTGATCAGGAAATTAACAGACATTGAGGCAGTAATTTCTAATCATTCTTTCAAAAGTTTGGACCACTATGGGAAGGAAGGAGCTAAGAAGTGGGCCAGGGTCCTGATGGGGAACAGAGGCAGTATTTGTGAGTATGACAAGGGAGGGAGACGGGGTGGTTTAAATGCTGGTAAGGATCCTGTGAAAAAGGAAAAGCTGGGAAGATGGATAAATATGCAAGTTCTGCGGTAGGAGAGGGAGAACACAGGCCACTCCAGGAAGGACTGACCTCTGAGGGATGACAGCAGGATGGGAAGGTGTTTACACACTCCCTCGCTGGGAAGAAACAGAAAGGTGGCTTAAGCCAGGAAGCCAGTGAGAACACTTGCTGCACAAGTCCTGAGTCCTCATCCCTAGAACGCATGCCAAAGCTAGGCCTGGTCACCTGCACCGTAACCCAGCACTGGGTGCTGGGACAGGAGGACCCCTGGGGCTCATGGAATCTTCCACTTTGTCATGCATGCATGTGGGCACGTGTACCTACACATGAACACACACACACAAAGTTAACTAGTTAAATAAAAAAGAGTGCTTGTTTATATCTTCCAATAACATTGGACACTGTTGACTCAGTTTTACTCTCCATCAATAATGAAAATAATTTTAAAAAGCAATACAAGTTGGCAGAGAGAGGACAAAGGAAAGGAATAAATACTTGAGTTCCCATTAATCTCATCTTCAATATAGTATCTCAGTGGACATGTCTATGATTAAAACAAGTAGTTTGGAAAAGAGAAGAAAGGAGATAGCAATAGGTTTAGAGAAACACACACCTGAATCCCAGCACTCAGGAGCCTAAGCAGGGAGATTCCAAGTTCAAGGCCAGCCTAGGCTAGAGACCATGTCTAAAAAGAATAGGAAAGAAAGGAAAAGAAAAACCTCATACAGAACTCTGTGTCTTCTCCTCCCCACCTCATCCCCCCATTCCATTCCTCCATTGCTCTCATTCTCATGCTCGGGCCTGTGTCATCCACGCTTCATGTATATTTACAGAGAAAGACAAAAACCGAGCGTCGACGCTGGCTGATTCTGAGTATTGGAGTTACCAGTTGCTTTCATCATTGTTCATTTCTAAATGCTGTCTGAATACTTTAATGGCCTTACGTTATATTCATTAAATCACTAAAACATTTATTTTAAAATCCAAAAATAAATAATAAAAGCAAGATATGTTATGCGAGTGTAGACATGTACACACACATGCACATCTAAGTGAATACCTATGCACAGACAGAAACTGAAAATACAAGCATTGTAGAAAGATACAATTGCAGAGTCAAAGCCGCCTACCCTTGTACTCTTCAGTATTCCCATGCTGGCTTCCCAGAAGGAACCACAGCACATAGACAGTTTCGTTTCTTTTCTTTTTTTTAGTTAAAGAAAGCTGGAGAGTTGCTCAAGATCAGAATTCATTTCTCAGTCCTCCAGTGTAGGTCACTGTCTGTAACTCAGGAGTTTTCTCTTCTGGCTTCTGAATGCACCGGCACACAGGTGGTTCATGGACATACATACAGGTAAAACCCTCATATACATGTTTCTTTTTAAGTCATTCCATACCATAACTTACAGATACACTTGTCTGCTATTGTTCATTAATAATATATAGCAAAATTCACACAAATAATTTAACTTTTTAGTTTTTGTTTAAAATGGCATTAAATAGCAAATTTTAGAAATACTATCACGAGTCAAAAGATAGACAACAGAAGAAATTACAGTTTGTTAGGACTTTTTAACAGAACCTCCCCCCCAACACACACCTTCTTTTTTTCCTGTAAGTTTTTTTTCTTTCAGTTGGGAATGGAACCCATGGCCTTACATGTACTCTTGGAAAATTCTACCCACTGGGCTACATCCTCAGAATTTTCTCCTGATTCTTTCCAATTATATAACTGGCCTAGAACCTGAAGAGAAGTTCTGGGGAGCGTAAGACTCCATAATTCTTGTACAACACCAGCAGAGCAAATGTTAAAAGTTGCCTGTCCTATATTCTCTCCTTCGCTAACACAAGCTTTATTTTGTCCAAGATGACAATTCATACTGTTAAAAATAAGAGCTACTATTCTCTTACAAACGCTCTTAGTTTTTTAACAGGGCACATTACATTGATTGGACTGAATTGCCATTGTGAGGAACTAAATGCCCCCATTCTGGCTAGTGATGTGAAATCAAAGTTTACTAGCGGGGGATATGGAAATGCTTGATTTCAGAGAGAGAAGGAACACTACGCTGATGTGTGCTTTTGTCTGCTTTTCGAGCTGAGACTGTATGTAGCACCTAGAGGCTCTGAAGCATCTCGACACATCAAGGTGAAAGTTACATGAAAAGAATCGCAAAACAGAACCTAGCAGATACAGTGGTTTGGTCCCTGGCATAAGGGAAGGAGAAAGAAGGAAAGGGAGGGAAGAACAAGAATTAAAAAAAAAAAAAAACAGAGACAGAGGCAGGAGGAAGATGAGTTCAAAGCCATCCTCGGGTACCTGAATCCAGCCTGGGTTACAAGAGGCCCTGTCTCAGAAAACAGAAACCAAGTTAGCCAAGTGTGGGGGCTCATGTCTATCCCAGCACCAGGAACTGGAAGGCTGAGGCCCTGCCAGACAGTAGGAACGCGAGCGTGAATGAATGCATCATCTTTCTTCCTCTATTGTCTCTCTGAAGTGCCCTCACAGGCCCTTCCAGAGCTGTTTCCTAGATGATTCTAAACACGCCTCGGACAATCACAGGCCATCACAGGGACTGATCTGTTCAGCACTTCCTCAGTGCCCGACAGTGAGTAAAGCTGTAACAGGGTAGGGGGCAATAAAGACAATCTCGGTCAGCACAGGGTGGCTGGGTGGGTGTCCACCCACGCCGTCAGCAGCCCTTGACACCGGACCGCATACAGGAAATGCTGGCCAAAGATTCTGCAGTGTCGGTTCTGTATTTCCTCTTAAAGAACTTCTGTCCATGCTTTTCTCTCAGAGATACTCACTGAGGCTCCCCGGGAGAACCAGGGTGGGGTGCAGGGCAGCCCAGAAGGCTCCGTGTAAGGACTTCTGCGGATGCTCTGACCCTGGGATTAGTCCCTAGTGACCTCCAGGGGTCGCTGTTCCGAGGGCGTCAGCCAGGAGCTCCACCCGACAAGGGACTTCAGCCGCCCTGCAGGGGTCGCTGTTCCCGCGAAGCCCTCTACAGCGACTCCGCCCGGTGGTGGGTCCTCGGCCGCCCTGCAGGGGTCGCTGTTCCCGCGAGTCCCTCTACAGCGACTCCGCCCGGTGGTGGGTCCTCGGCCGCCCTGCAGGGGTCGCTGTTCCCGCGAGGCCCGCCGGCCGGCTGAGGCCACGCCCCCCCGGGGCCGGC